CTACATTATGCACATAACAAACAAACGAACACCACATGCAACTAGCTACCAGTTTTGTGGTCAGGCTTTAGCAACCACAAAAATCCATCCGTATCTGGGCGTCACGCTGACAAGCGGACTGAAGTGGGGTGCACATGTTAATAATATCACAACTAAGGCGAAACAGACATTGGGAGTGATTAAACGTAATCTGTGGGCATGTCCAACGAGAGTAAAATCACTTGCATACACGTCACTTGTAAGACCGAATCTAGAATACGCTGCGACAGTATGGGACCCATATACAAAGAAAGAGAAAGACAAATTGGAAAGGGTACAGAATCAAGCTGCAAGATTCTGTATGAACAACTATGTAAGAGGTGCTAGTGTCACGGAAATGAAAAGAAACCTACAGTGGACCTCACTTGAAGACAGAAGAAAGATGTCTAGACTATGCATGATGTACAAAATGACTAATAAACTGGTGGATGTCCCAAGTACTAAGTACCTAATACCAGCTCAGAAGAGAACAAGAAATAGCCACGCATTCAAGTACCAGAGTTATCAACCAAGGATTGAGGTGTTCAAGAATTCATTCTTTCCTAGAACTATCGCAGAGTGGAACTCACTGTCACCAAGTACAGTAGGGGCACTGTCAATAGATAGCTTTAAACAATGTCTAGAGCTAGAAGTTCAAGGGTTAGGTGTAACAAGTCGATCGGTGTAATATAGCCAGCTGCCGCCGCGCCGCGTGCCTGCGAAGCTGGTGTGTTACGCCGAAAGGCGGTTATACCGGCTATACAGATACAGATACGTCCGAACTCGAACATGAATATCAGCCAAGGCCGCCTTAACCCAACCGAGTAACAAAAGACTAGGTACAAACTCAATTGGCATCAACAACTGTGAACAACTGTCTGGCAATAAACATCATTTATTCATTCATTCATTCATTCAGGTTGAAACATTTCAAACTATATCAATTCTGTGTGTCTTATACAGGTGGACGACGCTCAGAGCTTTTGGAACTTTGTAAGATACACGCTGAGTCCTGCGTTATACGGCAACCAGTGGTACAACGATGGCAACAGAGAACCGGGTGGATTCATGGCGGACAAGACGTCATATGTGGTCGGACCTGTCAGGATAAGGCAGCTGAGGGTGGCAGAAGGTACGTGTATACACCAGCCTTTACGAACGTTTGCAACAGAAACTTTCAGTAAGGCTGTCCGTGACCTGTTTTTCGTCCGAAAACTAAAATTGGTCTCGATTGTTCACTGACTGTACTAAATGATACTACAGGATAATTACACAGACCAAATGCCTCACTATGTCCACAGATCCTTCATGTGAGAGGGCCGGGCCAGTTCAACACATCTTCAAGGACTGCACCAATGCCTACTCGCACTCATCCCACGACAGCAGCAGTTATGGGATGGGTTGGTCGGAGACACCTGACGACAATTCAAGTTTACTGGTGCAAAATGAAACCAATCCTTGGATATACCGTCATTCGCCAGGTACTTTAAATTACACTTGACAGTTTTTATCATACGTTTCGGTCTTTTCGATTCAACCCAAATGCCAGGACAGGAATGTGGTGTGCACGTGGTTGGATTCATTGATCGGTTAGTTACTACACGTGTGTCATATCATGTCGGTCTGGCCTATTCCTGTTTTGAGCTATAACGTTCTTGCATACTACTGTCACAGACATACCGGTAGTAGGAACACATGCCACCTATTGGGACGGGGGCTACTTCGTTACAGTCACCAACACCACGCCCGCCGCCGTCCTGGCCACCGTAGCGCAGCTGGAGCCCAGCGGGTGGATCGACCGCTACACCCGAGCCGTCTTCATCGAGATGACGGTCTACAATCCCCACGCCAACCTGTTCTCCGTGGTGAACCTGCTGACTGAGTTTACTGCCATTGGGAAAGCCTATCCCCGTGTGGACATCGCTACAGTCCGACTCTACCGCTTCCAGACTCCGTGGGCTTGGGTTGTGGTCGGATTCCAAGGGGTCTTCATCATCTTCACCTTGTACTTCGTTTTCAGAGAATGTGAGTGCACATATGATATCTCTTACGTTCTTGTCTGTTGCACATTCAATGCTAACATCAGCTGGTACACTACTGTAAGTGTCCGAGTCCTTGCAGATATTGACTCCAATTTGGACATACGTCTTTCAAACAACAAACATCTGGGTTTGGACATTATTAGTATGACTTTATGTAACGTTGTTATATCACAAAATTATGCGATTAATGAAACTTTATTATTGCATGTTCATTCCCCTGGGGGATAAATGCACAGATGTACAGAGTACAATGTACTAGAGAGTACTACAACAATAGTGATATAGAAAGGCTAACATCGGGTCTAAGGTATACAATGCTAAAAAAGAAATATACATATATAAAGTGATACAGATCTAAGGTCTAATGGCTTCTTCTCTCTTTTTGAAACATTTTGAAATATACTTACATACTTCATTGATGACGTCTATATTCGTACATGATATGATATATTTAAAAGTGTCTTCCTTTGATAATGTTTTACATTTTTTGTCGAACTTAATTGAACTGAACAGTGATTTACGTTCGTTATCATATAATATACAGTCAAGCATAAAATGCGATTCATCTTCAATACAAGAATTATTACAGAATTTACATAGTCTATCTTGTAACGGTGTACGGCTATGCCTGCCAGATTCTATGTGTAGAGGGTGGTCGCTAATACGGAGTTTACACATAGCTCTGCGGTTTTCAAAATTTGGAATGTCTAAATATGGTTCTCTGTCGTATAGTACTTTGAATGTTTTATATGTTCTCAGTTTGTTGCCTTGATTTTCTCTTTGTCATTGTGCTTGTAGTGCTGAGTTGAATTTCTGGATGAATATATCTTTTAATCTTTGTCTTAGTTCATGCAGATGGAATGGTTTGTTAATATACNATTTTAGCCGATAGATCCACTGTTGTCAGATACTATATGGAATTTGTGAAATTCAAGTCCTTGATGTCCTATAAGAAGGAAATTACCACGATTTCTACAGAGTTCAGCTGAGAGACCGTTTGTAGAAGTACCGCAGAGCTGCGTACTGGGACCAGATCAACACGTATGTGCTGGGCTGCTTGGTCTGTGTGGGGGACACTCAAACTACTGCATCTCCTGCGGTTCACAAGCATGGTTGTTCTCGGCGCAGGTAAAAAAAAACACTTTAAAACAGAGAAGAGATCCTGTAGATAGATTCTGTAGATAGAGAAGTAACAAAAAATGTAACACTTGTTTCTTCTATACCTGTACCCAAGTTAGTGCATTTGGCCCATGTAGGGCGTGAATATGCAATAAAGTTCATTGTCATTTAAAGTAGTGTTTTTCTATGGGACACGATGTTACTTTTGTCAATACGCTAATTCACTACACGCATGCATGCGGTAACTCAAGTTGAAGCTTCTTTTGTTCACAACCAGCATGTGATTCTAAGCCCGATTCGTTGACACTCCGTATCCACTGTTTTGTCAAGTGAAGGGAGTGGAACCCCCCCCCCCAATGACTTTAACAGACTTTCAGAAGTCAGAATCCTTCTTCAGAAATTTTTCTTGATATGTTGCCTAACTAGATTCCTCAATTTATAGTATGAAATTGCAGTTATATTATGAAATTGCAGCAACATCAACAGCGTGTCTAAGGTTTCAAATAAACAGTTCTGACTCCCTCCTACACGTTTCTTTCCAGATACCATGAAGAAGGCAGCCGGACCACTATCCGGGTTCTTCTTTATTTTTACCATAGTGTTCGTCGCTTTTGCGACGTTCGCCTTTCTCGTTTTCGGCTCTACGGAGGAAGGCTTTTCGCCCTTCGTCGCCACCGTGGAAACGATGTTCACGCTTTTACTGGGGAAGTTCTATGAGCTGTCAGACGCCAAGACGGTCATGGGACCGCTCTTCACCTTCACGTTTATCACGTTCTTTCAGTGGGTCATCCTCACCATGGTTGTTGCTATCCTAGACGGTGCCATACATGAGGTTAGTATTTTTCAAGAGTGCATGGTTGAACAACAAACTTTATTTCTGTCGTGCATTATTCTCCTAAGTGTAAGTAATGCTTGAGACGAACATTCTTTGTAATCTGTCACACTTAAGAACACTTTATGTATGTACGAAATAGGTTTTGTATGTTTCTGTATGTTATAGTTCTATTTCTTTAATACACGTATCAGGTTAGTAAATTCTGTCACTTAATTTCACCACAATTTGCTCCATGTCAGTACTCTTTACCATGAATAGGTAGCCTTTGGTCTTTCGTATGCTTTTTTTCCCAATCAAAAATATAGCAAAACCGCGATGCAATTTCCAAGTACAAATATGTCAGTGACACACGAATAGATAATAAATACTACTAAAATATGTGATTTGAGATTCTTTTTGCATGCTTGTTTTTAATTTCTTTCCCTTTCCCCCTTCATACTGATTTAGTAAAGCTGCATGTACACTAAGTATATAGTCAAACAGTCTACGAAAGCAAATTATATATGTGGTCTGTTGTATTGGGAAAATGTTCTATATGGTCAAATCATGAAAGTCAAGTGTTTTATTGGGAAAAGGAATTGCACAGCTTTGTACAGAATTATACCTTTTAAAAAAATCTGCACAGCTGTGCATGTTGGCTTTAGCTCGATATAGCTTCATCATGTTATGATACTAGTATTATGTTGATTGTACCATCAGGTTGCGGAAGAGAATTCCCAGCAGAAGCCCGAAACTGAGCAGGTTGCAGACCTGATGTTGGAGAGGCTGCAGTCCTGGGTAGGAGGGTGGCGGGGAAAGGGGAGGTCATCGTCCGCCATCCAAGAGGACTGCAATCCTACAGAGGAGGAGCTGACAGACTTCTTGACAAACGCTGATTTCGTCCGTTTGCAGGGTCGACAGGATAGCTCCTCAACTTCTGTCGAATTTTGCATTGAAAACCAAATATCCTCTGGCACAGTGTAGTTAACTTCAGAAAAAACACAATTTTGCATATTAGTTAAACAACGGTATACATGGAAGTGTAAACAGAAAGTCAATCATATCTGGATCTCATACTACTGTTTGTGCTGAGGCAAAGCTATAAGGAATACTAGATGTCACTTTGAGCGTTTTTGCACTTTTGAGGTATCATCTTTGGCCTATATTGGCCTTGTTTCATATTACAGTTGTCATCTAGGAAAATATAGACGCAGGCATACTGCAGCTGCTCAATACTATAAAGAAACGTTTTAAGTAGAGGTAATATGTAAGGCTACATAATATATAGGAAGTGCGTCGTTTTAAAGCTTATAATTACTTGGATGGCGACCCGTTAAAGAATTATACAGTTACCAATCCGCAGACCTACATATTCTACTACTTAATTTGACAATGATTTGACTTACCATTGGAAGGTCTCTGAGGTGGCCCTTCCGTGACCAAGAACAGCATACGATGATGATTATAATCATTACTTACTTACAAAGTGTTACGGCATATAAGGTATGAATACAAGTTTCAGGAAACCCATGACGTCTGAAATCTTAATCTTGTAAGCCGTGGAATGAATTTTAATTTAAAACTGTCATCAAAGTTGCAGTTTCTGAAAAGACCTGGAGGGCACTACTGTAGTGTCCTCCATGCCTTTCTTCGTCACGATCGCGAATAGTTACATAATGATGATTTATTGGTTTATTCTTTTGGGGTACAATAATCCGTGACATGTTTCTACTCAGCATCCATTGCCATAATCGGACTTTACCGGAATTTTTGATTCAGCAATTAGCTTATTAATCCAAGCAAGTACTATTGAGTATAACATAGTTTACAGCAGAGAACTCAATCTTATAATTCACCACTGTTTTAAATAGAGATAAAAAATACTATGTGTCTGTGGTAATAGTTCAATGTACGCAGTTAGATTTTCTTAATTGAATTGGTTTTGAAGATTTGGTTTTATTTGTCTTCCTGCTATGATTTTTTTTATGAACATAATTATTACGATTGGTTTACTTTGTATAATTTGTAGGATTGAATTGTATCTCACGTCTATTATGATCTCCTGAGTTTTACCGTATGTGCAACGTTAAGTGTTATTCTGTTTACTGAGACCTATTATGGATATAATTTGGAGTCTGCCCTACTCGGCTGAAAGTACTACGCACGTGTATCGAAGTACACAGGTGTCAAGCCAACATAATTATATTTCAGCCACATCTTACATTACAGGTGTATTGGTTAGAACTAGTTGCAAAAGCTTGCGATTCGAACAAACATCGTCGAGAATTCGACTGAATGAGCCCAACTTACTATCGGTTACTATATTGTAACAACTACAGGATCCCAAAAGAAACAACACACGATAGATGAGGGAGGGTCTATACTTTATTAAACAATACACCAAATCGACGATGAAATAGGGCAAACGGGTTTGCCCCAAAAAAAAACTAAAGGGTACCTATCTCGAGTGGAATCATCTCCATCAAACACGGTCAACTTTGAAACCTCGTTTCTCCAACAAACACCACCGGTAATGTACATCTACGACCTTGAGCGTGACGCCGGCCCTTCTTACATCTCACATTAACGTATGGCAAGGAAACATTTACGCAAAGCGAAGTTACAAGCGAAACAGTAAACAGTAGCAAACTCTCGCGGATCACATTACCTTGGAAAAGAAGCGCGAGATTTAAACGAGATCTTAGAGAGAGCTGCGCAGAACCGATGCGCATAGCGGTCTGCGGTTCGACTGCAAGGATGAGTCATGTTAAAAATCATGTCATGCATCCTATATATATGTGATTCATCCACAATAAGTCTACTAGGTTGTAATCGATAACTAAAAATCAATATGTGTATCGGTATCTGCATGAACTGTCTTTATTATTTTTTATTTATTTATCTATTTGGCTTCACCACAAGAAATATACAAGTAAGGGGGTGCAAAACAAGTGTATGAAAACCTTTGCAAGTTGCCATTTTAAATTATGATAGTGGCAAATATATAGACCGACATAAAAAGCCAATATAACAGCTGAAAACCAATTTACCTAAATTCTTACCAATTTCGTGAAGACGCTTTTCCAAGGCGGTGATTCGGCTGCGTTCGTTGTCTAGGTCGCGTTTCAAAGTGTCAACAGTGGTGGACATGCCGTCAACAGTGGTGGACGATGCCGTCAACAGTGGTGGACATGCCGTCTTGGTCGCGCTTCAAGGCGTCAACAGTGGTGGACATGCCGTCTTGGTCGCGCTTCAAGGCGTCAACAGTGGTAGACATGCCGTCTTGGTCACGCTTCAAGGCGTCAACAGTGGTGGACATGCCGTCTTGGTCGCGCTTCAAGGCGTCAACAGTGGTGGACATGCCGTCTTGGTTACGCTTCAAGGCGTCCACAGATGTGGACATATTGTATTGGTCGCATTTCACGGCGTCAAAAGTCGTCGACAATTGAGATATTTCCTACAAGCGTATATACGTGCGTCAGAATGCCGAACGTAACAAACAAACTTACGCAAAACAGCAGTAAATTCCTTTTTGTATCCTCTTTTTAAAAGCAGAATGGACAATAGAGGTCCATGATCTCATACTTTCGCCAAATGATGTGAACCCGTCCGGTTGTCGAATTATACAATTTTAATAATTGATTTCGCAAATAAGAGTGTCATTTTGCATGGGTTACATCAGTTGATCATATTCTCCACCCAAATGACAGCCTCATCTTAACAAAATAGGCTATTCTAGCACTTCCTCATAAATTATGCAAATGAGGTCATAATGTGAATAAATTATCTTCATTGATGTTCACCTTCACTTAACTGCCAAATGCGGCAAGTATGAAATTACCAGCAATTACAACTATGAAATTATAACAATTTCCCATTAATTATGTAAATTAGGTCTTCATTTACATAATCTATAACCTCAGATGCTTTTCTCGTTCTCAATTACATGTCACAAATTTTTCATAGTCCTATTATAGAACGAAGCAGATTTATAGCATTTCCTAATTAATTATGCAAATTAGCGCCTGATTTACATAATTGTCATCTGATTATGTCAAGCATCACTACAGCTACCTACATACCAAAATCATGACAATTCGTTAACCGATTCTTGAGTTATCCACCATCGGAGATTTTTCAAGAAACGCTCCTGCAGTTCCAGAACAAGCTTTTAGGGGGCCCAAACTCATGTCACTTCTACCCTACCCCAAGAGCTATCTACCAACCAAAATTCGTGACCCTAGCATATCTAGTTCGCGAGATATCAAAACCGGACGTTCTGTTGCAGTACCAACAAAGTCTCCAGGGGACCCAAATCTAATCATTTCTAGGTCCCATCAAGACCTACCCACATACCAAGTTTCATGACAATCCACNAACATCGTCGAGAATTCGACTGAATGAGCCCAACTTACTATCGGTTACTATATTGTAACAACTACAGGATCCCAAAAGAA